GAAGAGGAAGCAGCTCACCTACCTCACCTCTCTCACCTCCCAAGAAGCCCTCCTGCTGCTTCTGGCCCCTCCTTACAACCCCTTCTCCACCTGGCTCCTCCTTACAACTTCCTGTCAGCTGGTAGCCGACCCAGCCTCTGGACCACAGGTGAATTGTATTTAATCAGACACATCTTTGCGTCATTAAGCAAATGTCCCAGAGCATAAGCAAAAAATCTTAATTTCTATAACACTGGGCTCTTTCACCCACATGTAAAATTTCCTTGAGATGAGATTATCCAGGACCCTGTGTGTAAGTTACAGGGGATTTTCACCCCTCCCTCACCCACTTTCTGACCCTTCCCAGGAAGGTCTCATGGACACTGCTAGAGTCTCCAGGAAGAATGCAAAACACCTGACATTTCCAACTTTCCTCCTCAGATCTTCCAGAGACACATGTGACCCATCATCCTGGATATAAAGGTGATGTCAACCTGAGGTTTTAGGCCCTGGGCTTCTACCCTGCTGACATCACCCTGACCTGGCAGAGGGAGGAGGAGGAACAGACTCAGGACATGGAGCTGGTGGAGACCAGACCTTCTGGGGATAGAACCTTCCATGAGTGGGCATCTCTGGTGGTGCCTTCTGGGGAGGAGCACAAATACACATGCCATGTGCACCATGAGGGGCTGCCTCTGCCCCTGACCCTGAGATGGGGTAAGGAGGGAGTGGGTGCAGAGCTGGGGTCAGGGAAAGCTGGAGCCTTCTACAGACACTCAGCAGGGTGAGGCATCATAGCTTCAGCCCTGACCCTCACCTTCTCTTGCCTTCCCTCCTAGATCCCCCTCCAGTCCACCATCACCATCATGACTATTGTTGGTGCTGTCCTTGGAGCTGTGGTCTTAGGTTTTATCATTGGTGTGATGATGTGGATGAGGAAGAACACAGGGTCTGTATTTGTTTATTTTCTGTTTTTGCATTCAGCACATTCAAGAAGGGTGCACACTCACACAACACACACACACACACATACACACATACAGACACACACAACACCCATGCCCATCTCTGGGTGTGTGTGCTGACAGTCACCTTACTGTAGGGAAATGTTCATAACCCTGGTCCTGGAGGTGATGGGGACCTGATCCTCAGAGGTCAGAGGGGAAGGTCCCTGCTGAGCACAGACCTCCAGCCTGGCTTTGGCTCTCTCCCTGCACACCTCCTTCTGCCTGCTGACCTTCCCTGGTCTGCAGTCACAATTCTGAAAACTCTCTGGGGACCAGGACTTCCCTGGTCTCTCACAGCTTTTCCTCTCACAGGGGGTAAAGGAGGCAACTTTGTTCCTGCTGCAGGTCAGTGTGTCAGGGAAGAATCCTCCCTGAGGCACTGGAGTGGAGGCTGAGCTGATGGTTTCTCCTCCAGCCCCACCTGTCAATCTCCCGACTGTGTCTGGTTATTTCTACTGCAGGCAGGGACAGTGTCCAGAGCTCTGTCTTGTCTCTGGAGGCTTGAAAAGGTGACACCCTGGGGCCTGGGGTTGGGGCTGGGGTGAGGTAAAGAGGAGAGGACTGGGTCCCAGGGATTCTCAGGATTCCAACATTTGAATGAGTCACTGCAGGCCTTTGAGATGTCTTTATATTGACTGCTCATGTCTCTCAGTTCCTAGTTCAGACTGCTGCCTCATGTGGACTTGTTCTGACTCAAAAATCAACAAACATCTGAAGCTGTCTGCTTTCTCCTGTGGGAACAATGTGAAGAACTGGGGAGCCCACCTCACCCCTCTATACCTGGATCTCGTCCCTGTACTGCCCTGTGCTCTCTTCCCAGCCAAATTCCTTGTCCAACCAGGCAGGTGGGCACATCCCCATTGTCACCTCCATGCTGCCCTGAGCTGCAGCCCCTGACCTCCCCACTGAAAATAAGAGTATGAATGTGAACTTGATTCTTCGTGTGTCCTTGACATGGGAGATTGGCAGATCAACCTAAAGGAGAGAATTCTGAGAGTGTGGTGGAGAAAATAAATGGCAGCATGGAGAACCTTCCAGGGTCTGTGTTTGCTGTGCTGAGTGTCAGGGTGGGGGACAGGAGGAGTCTCTGGGAGCTGAGTGAGGGTGGGGCTGTGTCAGGTGGTGCTCTGTCCATGTGGTGTGCTCACTCCTCGGCTATGTCCTCCTTGGCTCTTCTGTCCTTGTCACTTAGTATAACCACATGTGACAGAGTCTGGTCACAGGGACACAGGGCTGCTCTGACAGGTTACCCTGAACTCAGTGCTGGCTGAGGCTCTTCCCCCTTGTCTTCTAAGTTTATATCTCGCCTCTGCTGTCTTTCATGCTTTCACTCAGCACGCAGGATTACAGAACAATTCTAGTAGTGTTCTGTGTCCATCCTGGAATGCTACTCTGAGGTCAGGAAACAAAGGCTCAGCTCTCCATGATAACGACATAAATTATACATATTGTAGATATGGTTTCATTACCTCCTTACTTCTGTTGTCAGCTGCTGTTGACACACATTCTCTATAATTTGAGCTGACATTTTTGGTGCAGCATTAAGAAATTTGATGATTTGAGTTTTCAAGAAAATAACATTAAATACAATAATTATATTTATGTTTTTAAAAAAGGGAGCTCATGGAGTTCCCAGTAGGCTCACTCAATTTGGTTGTTGTTTTTAAGTTAAGACCTTGCATTTTCAAGAAAGGTGTTTCCTTTGCTCATTCTTTCTTTTTTTTTTAAAAAAAATATTTATTTATTTATTATGTATACGATATTCTGTCTGGGTGTATGCCCTCAGGCAAGAAGAGGGCACCAGACCTCATTACAGATGGTTGTGAGCCACCATGTGGTTGCTGGGAATCGAACTCAGGACCTTTGGAAGAGCAGGCAATGCTCTTAACCTCTGAGCCATCTCTCCAGCCCCTCATTCTTTCTTTTTTACCTTCATACAAGGTTATCTTTTTTTTTAAAAAAAGAAAAACTTTTAACCTTTGTTTTATTTGTTAAAATAGCTTATCCATATAAATAAGAATATGAGGAAAAGAGTTGGAAAGATCAGGCGTTTTTCATTCTTTCTGGAGACTCCAGCAGGGTCCATTAGACCTTCCTGGGAAGGGTCAGAAATGGGGTGAGGGAGGGGTGACAATCCCCTGAAGCTTAGACACAAGGTTCTAGATAATCTTATCTTTGGGAAATTCTAGATAGGGGTGAAAGAGCCCATGGTCACAGAACCCTAGGTGTCACATAAGGAAAAGAGACTTCTGCCCTTTCTGGGTGGGACTGAGGGATTCAGCATCACTGAAGACTCCAGAGACCTTGGGTGTGGGCAAGAACTGGGCCTAAGCAAGACTCTGGCCCACACAGGACTGCAGACTGAAGGTCAACTGCCTTGGTCATTTCAGGACCTTCTCTCCTTCCCTGCTGAGACACAATCTGTTTTGTCCCCAGAGAAGGGTGAGCCCTGTGTGAGCTCACTATCAGTCCTGACAAATGGTCCAGAGAGTCAATGCAACTTTTCACCTCCCATATATGAGAGGCAGGAGACAGGTGGATATGTCAGGAGAGACAGCCTGAGTTTCCTCTAAAGCCAGGAAGCAGACAAGGGAGTAGACTCTCCACCATTCTATCTGATGCAGTGATGATTTATATAAGCTATCAGAGCTAGACGGAAGATAGGCACAAAAGGGTCAAAAGAGGAAAGGAAGAAGTCACATTACCTCTATTTCCAGACAACACCATTCTTTACTTAGAAGATCCTGTTGAGTCCACAGAAAAACTCTGGGACCTAATACACACTTATGGTTTCCAGATACAACATCAATAGAAAAGAGTAGGCTCATTTATGCCAGTACTGTATTTCCAGAAAAAGACACTAGGAAATGTACATCATTCAAAGTAACTCTAGCACTTGGAGGGCAGAGACAGGTAGATCTCTGTGATTTTGAGGCTAGTACGATCTACAAGAGCTACTTTCAGGACAGGCACCAAAGCTATACAGAGAAATCCTATCTTGAAAAAACCAAACCAAACAAAGAAACAAACCAGAAAAAAATAAACCTGCTTTGTGATAGCACTTCACCCAAGTCCGAATGTCTGTCACCAACAAATCTGACAGCAAATGTTTGAGAGGTGTGGAGAGAGGAGAAACATTCACTGTTGAAGGGCGGCAAATTAATACAGTCTTTGTGTATCATTGGACATTTTGGATATTTCTCAAAAAAATTAAAAATAGAACTACCATATGACCCAGCTATTTTACTCTGGGCAAAAGTCCACACCTACTGGTGGGATATTTACACCCCATGATTATTGCTGCTTTATTCAGTAGAGCAAAGAATTGGATTTAACCCAGTTGTCCATCAACAGATGAATAGATAATGAAAATTTGGTATACAAATAAATTGGAATACTATATGAGTTATGAAACAGAATTTCCCCTCCCTCACTCCCACCCTCCCTTCCTTTCTTTCCTTTTTGCATATAGGTGTTGGATAAGTGCATGAATCATATTTGATAACGGATGTGTAAAATCCAAAGTTCCACAAGTTCACAGTGGCTACTGTAACTGTATAGAAATTCACTCCTGAAATTTGTTGTGGTTAATTTCAGTGTGTGTTTTTTTTTGTAATAAAGTTTAAAATATTAAGAATAAGCAAAGAGGGTCATGAACCCAGCTGAGGATTTCTTCTTCCTCAGGACTGAGCCCAACCAGATGGCAATGTGAGGAGATAACTTAGGGCACCAGCACCTGTGCACAGCAGCGCGTCCTTCCCGTTCTCCAGGTGACTGCGGAGCCATTCCACGCACGTGTCCTCCAGGTAGGCCCTCTGTTTCTGTGCAAACCCATCCTGCTCCCACTTGTGCTGTGTGATCTGTGCTGCTGACCAGGTAGGTAGTCAGGTCATTTTTCAGGGAGAGGTAAGGGTGGCTTTTTATTATTATTGTTATTATTGTTATTATTATTATTATTTAGCCTGCATGCCTGCACACACACACACACCAGAAGAGGGCACCAGATCTCATTATAGATGGTTATGAGCTATCCTGTGGTTTCTGGGAACTGAACTCAGGATGTCTGGAAGAGCAACCAGTGCTGTTAGCTTCATCTCATCCCACCAGGTACACACAGCACAGTGAATACAGGTTCCAGAAGGTTCTCCCTACTGCCATTTATTTTCTAAATCACCCCTTCAATTTACCGACCAATGAAACCTCAGGTGAAGAATCTGAACCATCGAGCTCATGTTTAGATTCTTATTTTCAGTGAAGCCATGAGCTGCAGCTCTGTGCAGCATGGAGCTGACAGGATGGAGATGTCCCCTCCAGTTGGCTGAACAAGGAACGTTGTCTGGGGAAGGGAACACAGGACGGTGTAGTGACAGGATCCTGGTATGCACACGTTGAGATCACCGGGAATGTCTCAATCCTGGCAGCACCCCCCCCCCCCACCAGTCTTGGCTCTACCCAGGCTGCGCTGGCTGCAGCACCCTACAGACAACTGCTGGGCTCTGGACATCACAGCAGAGGCCTGACCAAGTCTTCTGTCATTCAGTGCACACCAGGCAGCTGTCTCCGCACTATAGTACAAGAGTCACTGTGAAGACGACACCCACCCCTCACTCACGGGTGCAAATTCTCAGAGTCCCTGTGAACCATTCATGTTCCCTCCTTTGTCCCACCCCCCACTTCATCTTCAACGTCTCATTTTTACAGTCTGTGAAG